TGGGCCACCGGGATTTTAAGGCCACATCCACCAAGTGTCTAGGAACGCCCAAAGAGGTCCTTTACCTCTAGGCCTATTTTTTTTGCGGCCCATTTGGGGGTGCAATATTCCAAAATTAGTGCCCAAAGTTGGTCTGCAAGAAATCCCTCCAACAATAGTCTATGCAGGGTGTTGACTTCGGACACCCCACCCTCCCTCCCCCACCAGTGACCCTGGTCAGTTGTCCTCAAAGTGTGTCGTCGTCGTCAACCTCCTCATCGGGTTGGCATCACCCCCATCTCTCCGTCGCGTGCCAGGTAGCCCGCGAGGACTGCACGTTGTAGCCAACGCCCGCCAATGCCGGCCTGGGAGAACTGCCTGCCATCGCACGTCGCTCAGCTTCCCCCTCTTGGGCTTATGTCGTCTTGTTTGAGAGAGAGAGAGAGAGAGAGAGAGAGAGAGAGAGTCTTGCTTCCTCCATCTCTTCGTCTCTCCTCCTCCTACCTTCTCGTCAAGGCGTGTGCCAAGTGGCACATTCTTTTTAGAGAGAGAGAGAGAGAGAGAGAGAGAGAGAGAGAGTCTTGCTTCCTCCATCTCTTCGTCTCTCCTCCTCCTACCTTCTCGTCAAGGCGTGTGCCAGGTGGCACATTCTTTTTTCCCTTCTTTGGGCTTTGTCCTGCTCCTCCTGCTCCTCCTCATCCTGCTGCTGCTCCTTTCTCGCTGCTATCCTGCTCCCCACCATCGCCTTGTCAGCCACCTCCTTCCTCCTCACCATCCTCCATCCGTCCATCTCCTCATCTCCCCCCTCTTTCCTCCTCACCAATGTTAGTGCGACGTGGCATGTCCTGTATAAATGTTATTCTTTGGTGGGGCTTTGTCATCCTCCTCCCCCGCCTATAGTCAATCTTGTCCCACTCCTCCTCGTTTGGTGTAGCCATTCGCCCCTCTCTACTTCTCCGTCTTCTCCTCTCCTCTCCCTCCTCGTTCCTCCAGTCAGTTTTCTCCTTCCTCCTCGTCATCATCCTTCACACAACGATGCCCTTGTTCCCCTTCTGCTTCCTCCTTGTCTCCCCTCCTTTCCTCATATTCATCATCTTGATCTAGACTGCCAATCATCATCATCATCATCGTCATCAACTGGCCATCATCATCATCATCTGGCCCTTTCCATCTCCTCCTCTTCCCTTCAACTCTTATCACATGCCAAATCACACTCAACCTCTATATCCTTTTTTTTAATCTCTTCCACGACTCTATCTACTCGACCCCTGCATCTCCTTTCCACCACCCTTCATCTCCTTCCAATGATCATGATCATCGTCATCATGATCTTTGGCTCTCACAATCATCATCATCATCACGGGGTCAGGATGATTGTCATCATCAACCCACCACCATCATCATCATCTCCGTCCCTCAGTCTCCTCCTTGTCTCCAATTTTCGGAACCCGTCAGCAATCTGGCCACTGATTATTTCTTTTAACGCATCATCAGCATCAGCAACCGACCATCTCCCCTCCATCTCCAATCATCATTGTCATCGTCCGCCTCATTTTTTTTCCTTCCACATGTGTCATCATTATCAGCTCTTCATCATCATCATTCCGGGCGCCAATCTTCTTCTTCTCTTGTAGCAGGCAGCATGGTGGGCAGTGGTGCCAACTCAACGGGCAAGGGGAAGGAACAGGCAACCTAAATTGGGGCAGCCCGTGAGAAGTCGACCTTAAACCACCAGTACCTCGAAGCCTCTTTTTCACGATGCGGATTCGCATTGTTTGCCAGAGAAAGCTGAACCACCCCTGCCAGCCATTTTGGTCTGGTAGCGCTGCTCATCCGAAATCTTTGGATTGAGTGAATTTTGATTCTCAACTGGTCCGGAGAGGGTACAAGTGGCATGAGGGAGCCAACACCGCTGCAGGACCTCTTGCTCTTCGTCACCAGATGAAACCGTGCAGAAACTTTGCAACAGAAGCACAAGGTGTGGCAATGGGTGGAGAGAGGGGAGAGGGCGACCCCTAAGGGTCATAGTGAGTATTGGGTGAGGTCCCAATTGTGCTCCATCTGGCGGGGTACTATCTCTAGACATATGGAGCACTTTGTGCGATTGAAGAAGCCATGTGACTTTCAGACAACAGAGATCCGACAACTGTTGGGAAGGATTGGAATGATCGAGGGGGGAGAGGAGGAGGACCAGGCGGCGGTTGATTTGACTTCCCACAACCGCCACCTGTTATGTGTAGTAGAGAGGCATAGATTGACACAGATGAGGGTACTCTTGAAGGGATGGGGTCCTGTGTCAAGCCAGCAACCTTAAACGGGCAGTACATGGCCCCAGGCAACTGGAGAACCTGTTTTGAGCTTCTCCGAAAAATTAGGAGGCCGAGCGCCATAGATAGAATGAGTCGGTGGCGGGCGGCCTCCGGCAGGGGCCCGCGGCCGAAGGCTGGCATGTAGTGGTGCTTTAAAGCAGATCGTGTGGGTCGGTGGACAACCAGGCGCAAAAGTACTTTGGTGTGGCATGGGCTGAAAAAGCATTCGCGTGTGGCTCGCCAGAGTTGGAAATTTTGGTCACGTAGATCTTGTATTTTGCCTAAATTTGTCGGTTACTATGCGCAAGTTAATCCTGGAATGCCGCAATGACATCAATGTGGCAAAGATCCCGTGGGTTCCTTGCGGTGCCTGATGCTGCAGTTTGATGTTGTATGACTTCAGCAAGCTCTATTGGGTGGATGACTTTGCCAACTGGGTGTGTATGATGGCAAGCTTATCAGGAACCATCCCAACGAAGCGTTCAGCTTTCCCACCCATGCCAGGGAGGGTGGTCTCGGGGCCATTCTTTTCTTGACCAGGCATCAAGCTGACAAGCAAACAAGGGATTGAATGCTCGAGCAAGTTTTGGAGGAATACTGATGGTTTGAACAAAAGTTTGTGTAATCTGTGTGATCCCAAGCTGAGTCATTTCGGGGAGAAGGGGAAAAAAGAAAAAGAGTTTGAAAGACCTGTGGTATAATGGCTGAATAAAGATGAGAACTGCAGTCTGGTTGGTAGATCGGAATAATGCTCGTCCTTCCACAAGCAGCGAAGAGCACACAGCTAGACATGGTAGGAAGTCGACCGCAGAGGGTGGAAGGAAGAGAGACACACATGGGAGGTCTGCATGTGCACAATCACAGAGAGTTCGAATTCAGATCATGCCCGGCAATGCAAGCAACTAGGATAATGACAGTAGGGTCTATTCAGGTGAAGACGTTAGCATCTTATGAGCTCAGCAATTACACTTTCATTGCTATCCTGAGGTGTTAATTCTATACATGTGGCATACCCTGCATACCGTGACGTGTGACAACTCATTCCTCCTCAATTCCATCAGTAGCCAAATCAACAGAAGCCAACTTGCCTGGGCAAGAAAGATAGGAAATGACTTGATTTGATTGAAAATTGAAATGTTAGCTTTCTGGTGTACGCCGCAAGACTTGGGGTACCTCTGGGCATTGCTTGTCCTACGAGATTCAGGAATTGCTGAAGCATGAATAAATTACTCTCAAGGCACTCCTGAATGTGCCATGAAGCTGCTGTTGTGATTTGGGCTTGTGCAAGAAACCAGCATTTTGAGGCCATGAAATTTTGAGCAGCAAGAGCACACCAATCCAATAATGCAGTGAAAGTAGATCGACTAGGCCTAGAGCACACCAATCCAAGAATGCATGAATGTAGATCGACTAGGCCTAGAGCACACCAGTCCGTAACACACTGATCACTGAAGTCTGTTGACAGTGAAAGGACTGTTCACGCATTGATCCCTGAAGTTTCTTGACAATGAAAGGACTCTTCACGCCTCGATAAATCAATGCAATCGCAGAGTATGCTATGATATGTCCACCTAAAGTACTTCCCTACTCTAGGCTGTCATATTGCCTCCTCTCTCTCACACTTTTCACCGGCCTATGCTGCTGGAGAGTCTGATCACATAGGTACTCGTGCACACCAGGTAAGCTACTCCTCTCCTGATGACATCCCCTCTAACTTGCCAGCTTTCTCCCTTCACTGCAGTGCCTCCCAGCTATGGTGAGTGCTTATGCACAGGAGATCCTGCTATGCTGCTTGCCTGTCAGGGCACTGGCTGCTAGCGCTCTCACAGCGCCGCTGCGCGATAATAATGCTACACCCAATGTCTCTCCTGCCTCAGCCTGGACCTGCGTGGTCTGGGTCCCGACTGAGGGTCTACCAGGTGGCCTGTGTTGGCGCCCAGTTTTCTCTTAGGCCGTGGCCTTCGCTTAGCACTGGCCTGGACTCTCTGTACATCCTTCTCGTATGGCTGTTAGGGTGTAGAAACCTTGCACTTCTTTTCAGGGTCTTTTTTTTCTCCTCCATACTGACAGTATGTGTCTACTCAATATGTATGCCGTTTTGAGAGTCCATGCAACAATCAGAGACCAGTACACCCCCAAATCGACCCGACAAGCAAACAAATGCAACCACTTGCTGTCCAAAACGATTCCCTGCTTGCTGTCCCATTCGTAGGACATCCAGGGACTCTCTTGACTGTCTGCGCAGCCATGGTGCTGAATGTTTTCCAAGGGAAAGAAGAGGATTTAATTTTAGTTGGGGCCCTGGAGATGTCTGAAAAGCGGTGCATGCGGGGTGCTGGATCTTGCAGGGAACATTCAGGAAGCAGAAGATTTCACTGACTTAAGTGGAAAACGCGTCAGCCAGCAGATTGATAAAGAAAACGTTTTCTTGCTGATGTGATTATGATTCAGATGGTGACAGAAAATGTAGCATTCTGAGGTTAAGGTTGAAGGGGTATTTCTTGATGTGCTTTTGTTGGAGTAGCCATGTGCATGGGTTGTCCGGCATGTTCTGTGAAAGCAGTTTAGATTCGAGCTTTCTTCCCAGGATGTTCCTGCCCTTCGCTGAAGGCCGCTTAGCCTTGGATGACATCAGGCTGAGGGAGTGAGCATGGAGAAACACGAGCGAGGGATATGATGTACTCACCCGCTGTCCAAATTTGTCTTGTGCAGGTTGCAACAAATGCATTACTGCGTGTTGTTATGAATAGTTCAACGGTTTCCTCGCAGAAGTTAGCCATAACTTCCCTGGTGTCCGTATTGAAGGTGAGTCTGCTGTTTGCTTATTGCAGTGGAATCTGGTGGTAATGCATACTGCAAAATCTTGCAGTAATTCGTGCTGCAGTATGTTCTTCTCCGTCCTGGCCTCTCCTCGAAGTCCATTCAGTGTCCAATTTCAGTGCTGTCCAGTGTTGCACCCACCGACGGTTGGCGGCCCTTGACTGGTAGGCACGTACCGGTCGGGGGTCCCCAATAACACCACCAACAACCCCATAGCGCTCCCCCAGTACCCCCATACACCCCCCCCAACACCACCAAACCGAACACCCTTATGAACCCCCCCAATACCCCCAATATCACCCCTATACCCCCCCTANACCCCTATACCCCCCCTATACCCCCCATATACTCCTAAAAACGTGTTGAAACCACCCAAAAAAAGCAAACACATGTTACAAATTTGTGCTCCATTATTTGACAATCTGAGTGGTCTTATCATCCCCAAGCCCCCCATACCCCCCCCCCCCCCCCTTTTTTTTTTTTTTTTTTTTTCAACTTCAGATACGAGAAACCTACTTAACGAGGTGATAAGAGCATCCCTGGTAAGTAGGCCCCGGCGTCGAAGGCTCCATCTATTGGTGGGGAGCTACACCTGCTGGAAATCGGGTCCAGCGTTCCTGTACAATGATGAAAATGTATCTGCTGGAAATCAGGTCCAGCGTCCATGTGCAATGGTGTGAATATATGTGCTGGAAAACGGGTCCAGCGTCCCTATCCATCTAGTCTATAGAGTTTCCAAAACAAACTGAGGCATCAATCCAATCAAACAAAACCCTAACCATGATGTGACGTATATTACAATGATGTGATTTGTATCTGCTGGAAATCGGGTCCAGCGTCCCTATATCGTGTTGTGTACTTATGTCCAACAGTCAGAACTGTCTATATATGTCCATATTCTATATCTATCAAGTGAAATCACGAAACCCTAAGCACGATGTGATGTATATGATTTTTTATCAATCGAGCCTAAAAGCAAAGCTCTATCAATTATGAGAGATGTATGATCTGGACGTCAAGTCCAGTATGCATTATCATTATCATGTGAAACTGTCGGGGGCATTGATTACTTCCCTGCGCAGGGAAGGATTAACCTCCTGCTAACTAATCCCTAAACAGCCCACCGACAACCAACAAGACGATCAGCCCCCCGTTGATGATTGGTATTGCAGGCCGGGCAACATCAATCACCCCCAGCTATCCTACTCCTATCCTCTGCCAAACCACGAGGAGGAACTCCGTATCGAGGTTGGAGGGGGGGGAAGCAGTGAACCACTTCTCTATATCAACCCCATATCCAACCACTTCCACTTGCAGCATCACTCCCATCGTGCTGATGATAATCTCAGATGCCCGGATGCCTCTTCCTACCCCGCTGCTCCCTTGGCCGTGGCCGCCGCCGCTGTCGTCGTCGTCGTCGTTGTTGTTGTTGTTGTTGTTGTTGTTGTTGTTGTTGTTGTCGTCGTCCCTATCGTTGAACATCTCCCCCATCATGTTGATGATGATTGCATCTGTCCGGGCACCGCTGTCAGCCCCGCTGCTTCCGAAGTCGTCACTGCCGTCATCGTCGTCGTTGCTGTTGATATTATCGTTGTTGTTGTTATTGTTGTTGATGATGTTTTCGCCACTGTTGTTGTTGTAAGTGTTATCGCCGCTGTTATCATTGTTGCTGTTGTTGTCGTCGCACCCATTTATTGATGTTGCTGTTGACCTTGATGTTAACGCTGTTGCCTCTATTGCCACGTGCACGTCCTAACGATCAATAATGCCCTCCAACCGATCCTCCAGAAGATCATACAGATCGCGACCCTCATTGAAGAGGGTTTTGCAGACGGACATGGTGCCATCTGCCCTCCTCCAATCGATGCAGACGTCAAGCCGAGGATCCGGCCCCTCCTCCAGCTCCCAGATGATCGCCAGCATGTCCTCACTTTTGTCCTTCATCCAACCAGCCAGAGAGATCGCTCCCCCTTCGACCTCTGGCTCCATTTGCAACCGTCGAGACATGTCCCTCACAATCTCCTGTAGCCATCTGCATCCATTCTCCAACGTAATCAGCCATTCATTTGCTCCAATATGTAGCTCCCTCTCCAAATTCTCCTCCATGGTAGCTATGGCTCGCTCAAAGAACCGCGCCGCTTTTGTGCTGTAACCTCCAATCAATCACGGCTGGCGCTTCCCCTGTTCACGCATCGCGGGGCGTCCACATCACCAAATGACAGGTGGCACGTGGCAAGCTGAACGCCATGGCCACGTGTCGGGCGCGTGAACAGGCCCAGCGGCCTGGAGGGGCTCACCTCTCCAGCACGCTGGTTAAGCCTGCCGCGGCCGGGCCTTGCCGGTCGGCCGGCGTTATGGCGCTAGCGCTAGCGCAAGTTCTCCAGTACCGCATCCCTCTGATACCCAAAAGTTTCTCAGCGGATTTGGGCTGTACTCAGCAAGTGCAGTACAGCCCCCAACTCAGATGAAAAAAAAAATCAGTGGATGGTTGTTTTCTGACTGGTCGGCAAGACCGCCGACCGGTCGGCCCTACTGGTCGGCTGCAATACGGTCAGCGGTCGGGGTCGGTGGTCCGCAGGGATGCAACCCTGGTGCTGTCCCTATATACCTATTTGCTACTTTGTCCCAGTCCGAGGCAAAGCCACACAGCACGGTCAACAGAGTCACCTTACAGAACCAGTCTCGGACTCGGGCAAGGCACACAGCACTCATTCGAGTCACATACATACGGAACACAGCAAGTACCGGCAAAACAGACTCAAAAGCGGGAATCAAAGTCGGACTCAAAATTGGACTCAAAATCAGTCTCAGAAAATTTCCCAAACCTTAGACTGCTGTTTATGTGGTTCATTGCACACAGCACAATAAACCAAAACAGACTCTAAAGCGGGAAGTCGGACTCAAGATTGGACTCAAAATCAGGTCAAAAGATGGCGTTTCTCAGAAAATTTCACAAACCTTAGACTGCTGTTTGTGTGGTTCATTGCACACAACACAATAAACCGTATGTTGATGTCACCGGCAATCTGTTTCCTAATGGGACCCACGTGACACACGTGGTTAACCAGGGGTGTTATTTTCGACGAATTTTGCACCGAATTGCACTGAAACAGTGAAACTGTCATATTGTGCTGATTTTTTGCTTTTTTTCTTGTTTTTCTTTTTGTGTGATATATATGTGCTTTAGGGTACGTCATGTGCGCAGTTTTGACATGTTTGGATCAATAATGAAAAAGTTGGCATTTTGTTGAATTCGTTGGACGCTTCATTTCGACTCGGACAGTGTCTTTGTGTTAGGGTTTCATAGTGTTTTTTTGTTTTTGTTTTTTTCGTTCTTTTTGGCCTGTTTCCCTTGCAGTGACTTTGCACTATGGTCTCATATCGTTCGTTTTTAAAATTTTTGATGAAATTCGCACCGCAATTGCCAACGAAAACGGCGAATATTTGGGCCCCCGTTAACCGTCTCTCCCTCTTTGTCATTCTCTGTTTGGTCGTCATCTCTCTCGAGCTCTGAAGGTGCAGATGTACGACGTTTCACCAGCTCAAAATGCGCATGGGCGAATCAACCATGGTTGTAGCACCAAGCTGCTATTGTTGCTGCAGTCACTGCCCCTGGGCCATTTTGCATGTCACATTTTCCCGTTCAGCGTCTACACAGTATTTCCCCAGTAATGAGGGTGATCATTTATCTCTATGTTCTGTCCACTGTAGCCAGTCAAATTTCTGCCTTCACTGAATGTTATCAAAGTCGAGTGGTATGCGTTCAATGATCATCCCACATCACTTTACTCGTGGATATGCGGAAGTGATTTACTGCCTGACAACTCTAGGTTTTTGTGACACATTGAGGAACCCTAAACCGAGCTAATTTTATTTCCAAGATCTGCAGAGGAACTTTGTGTCACTTATCTCCGGACATTTGCACAGCCTTGTGTCAAATATCTACGAACTTCTGCACAGTGTTGCCAGGTACTGTCAAAGATTGTCTTTCACAGATCACCTGTCCTTTCCAATGTAAGCCTGCAGTATCCAGCTGCTCCGGTGTGAGCTCATCACCTTCGCTATTTGGCCCCTCGCAATCAGTATCAAAAATAATCTTTCACAGATCACCTCTCCTTTCCAGTGTAAACTTGCTGCAGCCATCTGCTCATGTCTGAGTTCATCACCCTCGCTGTGTTGGCCGGATGGTCAGGGTTCCTGGAAGATGTATGTGGTCCACCCCATCATTTGAAACCCTTACAGAAGAAGTATCGCGAGGGCATGCGCTTTGGTCATTCTTTCTCCCCACGTTTAATCTTAGAGGCTGTGCACAACCCCCCTTCTATGCTTGCTCGCACGCTACAGAACTGGCCTTGGTCCAGGCCCCGCTTCCCCACTTCTTTTCCTTTCTGCCCTTTTCGAAACCACAACCAAATGCAAAACTAACTGAAAAATTTGGGGGCAAGGTCTAGGGCATAGTAGCTTTGTTGCCTTGTCTTCAGGCAAGTCTAAGTTCTGTGTACAGGGGTGCTAGAAAGGGTGAGAAGTGGTCTGTCTGTAATTCTTCTGTTTTGTATGGTTCTTTTATGGCAATGCACCCCAGATTGCCCGAGTAACATCTGTGTAAATAGGTTGCCCTGACAGTACAAGTTTTTGTCAATCATTCGGTTGCTCGCATCATCAGGTAGCAAATCTAACACTTTGTGGACTTTGTTGTCATCCATTCCTGCAGGTGCTGGGACCTCAGGGATGTGCACCGTACCTCGCAAAGGTAAGTGATGCCTGCCCATGGTTTCCTCAAACAATATCCTGTTCTTAAGTGCAGAATGGCATCTTTAAATTAGCAATCCTCTCATCGCCACCGTCATAGATGTGCATCGAGTCAGAGCCAGTCTGAGTACCGCTCCACATTTGAAACGTATCTGTATGGTTGGTCCAGAGCATGATTTCATATGGCGTACTGAGTTGCTGCATAGGGATGACTTTGCTCTTTTAGTGTTTGGTTGTGCACAGTGCAACTTCCTTTCCTAGCAGTAACCTGCTTGAAGGTGTGAATAAGAGGAGGGGGCGTTCCATTTCGATTATGTGCAATGGGGCTGTATAGTTGCACTGTGACACTGCAAGAGCAGATGTGGGAAAAAGCCGCTTGGTAAGCTGTAAGAGTTGGATTGAGACTCTGATTCATCAGGAAATTGCCTGTCAAACTTCAAGGAAAACAGGGGCAGCACCGTCAATCTTTTTCTTTTCACTTCATTCAACTCTGCTGCCTGTTGTCCTGCCACTCATCTTCCTGTCATCCATCCCCAGCACCAAGCACCGCTAAGCTGTCCACTAAACGCTGTATTGCCAACCTGCACGCTACTGCTATCCTGATTCCGTCTAAGAGTTCGCCAATTGTGTGAGACAAAAACAGGTGAATCTTTTTTTTGCCCCCTTCATTTTTTCGCTCTGACCTCTTCAATGTAATCATCGAATTTTCTTTCATCAAATGTTGCTAGGTAATGTCCTGACATTGCTGGAGTGAAACGTCCAGTATATCAATTACTCAGTGATACATGTTGATGAATGGTCCAATGAAGAGTTAAAACTTGTTTCTTGGGTGAATTCACAATGTGACAGGTTATGACCGGCTTCTTCCATATTTTTCGCACCTGTGAGGATGGTCTCAAGGGTCTTATGCTCGAACAACTCTGCGAGATTGTCATGATTGTGCGGAAGGTATGTAAACCACACATTCTTCTCCTGTCCGGTTCCGCTCATCCATGTCTTAGTGTCATCCTTTCATCATCTGTGCTTCCCTGGAACTTCTGTGGGCTGGAGATGGGCATGAAACACCATGGAGAAGACAGTGGTCATGGTGGTTGAAGTTCACATTGCTAACTGCTCATTACTTTTTTGTTATGTTCGACTTCTATGCAGCCCATTCACCCATATCTGCGTGACTTGATGGCAATTATTCTCCAAGAATGGAGTAACCTTCCTCTTCTCACAGGGGTAAGCTTGTTCCCATATTGATCTGAGCCTCCGGATAGGAAGTCCCTTCATGTCTACTCTGCTTTGGGATTCATTGGCTATCATCCTAGTTGTCATTTCATGCTATGTGGAGTTGTACGCATGGAACTGGGTCTTCAGTGAAACATGCAAATTGGAGAAAAAGAATGAGGTCAAGTGATTGCGAGTGTATGTGTGAAAAAGCCTGCGTGAGAATACTTGGCTTATGATGTTCCTAGATCATGTGTGCTATGAGAGTACTGTGACGGGGCTGAGGCAGAGCAGCGAGGTTGGGGAAGAGAGGGGGAGGGAGTGAGAGCACACACACACACACTCACTCAACTCGACACGGACTCGACAGGACTCGATGGACGCAGACACAGAGTGGCGAAGTCGCAAAGTCTCAAAGTCGCAATCTTGGATTCCGAACACAATGTCGCAGCAAGTCACACTGAAGCACAAGCACCGAGGCGGAAAACTGAATCCCCTGAACTAAGCTTGATTCCGGTCCGGTCTTAAGTACCGGACTCAAGTTGAGTTCGGAGGGCAGAAGTGCAATTTGCCTCGGGGCTAAACTGAAAATCGACGGTCTGAGCCTGGGCGCCAGAATGTCGGATGGCGCCAAGTATCGAAATCCGAAAGTGCCAGAGGGGGGATTTGAGAACGGGCGCCAGATGCAGAGGGCGCCAACAGTCAGGCACTGGAGAACAGAGACTCGAAAAAAAATGAAATAGCAGTGTGGCGGGTGGTAACCCACGAACCAGGGATCGGACCCTGGCTCGGTCCGTAACACTATCCCCTCCAGAAGGCAACGTCCCGGCTGCCAAAGACCCAATGAAAAACTGTGAAGGACGGGACGGGGCTGATCACTGGTCAGAAAAGGAAAAAGGAAGTAATGCAAGTAGCAGGGTAATCCTATTGAGGTTCTACGGGGATGAGGGAATCAATGCTCAAGTAACAGGGTAATCCTATTGAGGTTCTACAAGGGTGAGAGTAGCAATGTTCGGGTCATATGGTCATCCTATTGAGGTTCTACAAGTAACAGGGTAGTCCCACTGCTGTTCTACAAGGTTATAGGTTGTCAGGTTTGAGAAAAATAAATAAAATAAAATTGTTTGTTCAATGCTGAAGTGTTGGGGTGTCTGAGGGGTCTGGGAAAACAACGTCTCAGTCTTGTAACAGGGTGTCAAAAGCGAAAACATGTCTTGAGGAGGGTCTTGGAGGTGTCGCATAAGTGGCGGTGAGGAAGCAGTCTTCAACGGTTCTATAATGTAGAGAGCGAGGGCTTCAGCTTGATTGTCCCAGTAGCACGTTGCGTCCGGTACACGATCTGATGATGAGGTCTGATCTGGACAGCAGGTCACAGACTGGTCTTGATGCCCATGTCGGAGGTGCTGCTCCAGAAGTCTGCGAGTCGAAGGTGCTGGCCAAAGGGAACAACATGGTGGCCAACCAGCTGTCACAACGTCTCCGTCTTGTAACAGGGTGTCAAAAGCAAAAACATGTCTTGAGGAGGGTCTTGGAGGTGTCGCATAAGTGGCGGTAAGGAAGCAGTCTTCAACGGTTCTATAATGTAGAGAGCGAGGGCTTCAGCTTGATTGTCCCAGTAGCAGGTTGCGTCCGGTACACGATCTGATGATGAGGTCTGATCTGGATAGCAGGTCGCAGACGGGTCTTGATGCCCATGTCGGAGGTGCTGCTCCAGAAGTCTGCGAGTCCAAGGTGCCGGCCAAAGGGAAAAACATGGTGGCCAACCAGCTGTCTTATCACCTCGTACTGAGCTGCAGCATGCCATCGTCCTCGTGCGCTTGCCATAAGATCCATTATCGCCGGCGACGCGCAGGGGCCACACAAAGAACTTGGACAAGAGAGGCAAGGATGTGGTGGAGGATAGATGGGAGAACGGGGCAAGGCGGAGGAAAGAGCGGATCAGACAAGGGGGGGTTCAAGAGGCAAGGGCTTCGCTGAGTACAGGGGTGTGTGTAGGGCAGGAATGCGGGGTTTGGCGGGGTCAAGGCGGGGTTTATGCAAGGGTTTAGGGTTTGGGTTATATTATGCATCTAGGACATAGGGTGAGCGCGATCATATAATAAGTTTCATAGCATTCTTAAGGTTAGCAAGAGGTTCCCATGTGGATTCTTCGTCAGGGTATCCTGTCCATTTAACTTTGTATTTTGTGATTGGTTCAGGGTGGTCAGATACCTGAGTAGTTTTGTGTCCTATGATGGCTTCGGCGACGAATTCAAGGCCTGTGGGTAACATGATTGGTGGAGGTCTAGGATATGGGCGGTCAGCGAATTGGGGTGGGGATTCATGGTATTCTTTGAGGTACTCTACGTGGAAGACAGCGTGGACGCGAGCCATGTGAGGAGGGAGTTGGAGTTTATAGTTGACTTGGGAGGTTTGTTCAATGATGGGGAAGGGTCCGAGCCACTTGTTCGAGAGTTTCTTGGACAAGCCGTGTTCGGGCTCAAAGCGTTTGGCGGAGAGCCAGACTTTGTCCCCTACTTTGAATGACACGTGATGTCTGTGTAGTCTTGTTGGCTTGTTGTTCTTGTGTTCGTTCGAGGGCTTCTGTGTCTTCTCTGAGGAGTCTGTTCATTGTTGCTACCCATTCATTGAGAGAAGGGCAGGGGGTGAATGGGTTATGTTGCGAGGGGAGGAGAAAGTCAGAGGGCAAGCACAGATGATAGCCAAGGTCGAGGTCGAATGAAGTCATGCCAGTAGAAGGACAGACAACATTGTTGTAGGCGATCTCAACGGTAGTGAGCAACTGATCCCAATCGTGTTCGTGTGGGTGACAATACTTCCACAGGATTCTTTGGAGAGTGTCGTTCATCTTCTTTGTTTGTCCGTCGGTCTGTGGATGGAATGCAGTGTTGTACTTGAGCGTGGTTCCATAGGCCTTGAAGAACTGTTTCCAGAATTGTGAGAGGAGGCGGGGGTCATGATCACACTGATGATATTCTCGGAGAGGCCGTGGTGGCGTGCAACATGGTCAAAGAAGAGCGTGGCGACGTCTTTGGCGTTGTGCGAAGTGGTGCAAGGGATGAAATGGGCACGTTTAGTCAAGCAGCAAACAATGACATAGATGCAAACGTGTCCGCGGTCGGTCTTGGGGAGACCACAAACGAAGTCCATGGAGATGGACTGCCACCGATGGGTGGGGATTGGCAATGATTGTAGCTTGCCGGGCTTGGCGTGGTTTGAGGGGTTGACAACTTGACATGTGGGGCATGAGCGGATGTAGGCTTTGACATCAGCGAGTAGGGAAGACCAGTAGAAGTGACGAGAGATGGTGTCGAAGGTTTTTAGGAACCCGAGGTGTTACTCGTGATACTCGACCAAGAGCTGGGTATGGAGGCCACGTGCGTCGGGGATGCAAAGTCGGCGAGTGCCTTTGGTGTCAATGTAAAGAAGTTGGTCGTGAAGGGAGTAGTCGGGAACTGAGTTGAGGTCACGAAGTTTGTTGTAGATTGTTGAGAAATCCGGGCAAGAGAGGTAGCCTTGGGTGTAGCGGTGGTGGAGTGATGGGAGGAGTTGGATATGAGTCATTGCGTAGACTTTCCTAGAGGGCTTGTGGTCAGGGCGTCGAGAGAGGGCATCAGCAACGCGGTTGCTTTTATCGGGGGTTTGGCAAATGGTGAATGTGAATTGGGCAAGAAAGTCTTAACCAACGGGCTTGTCGTGGGGTAACATCTTTCTTCGTTAGGATAGAAGAGACGATGGTGTTATCCGTGCGGACGGTGAAATATTGCCCGTCGAGGTACAAACGCCAGATTGTGAGGGCGTGAATCACAACAAGGAGTTCCTTCTCGTTGGAGGGGTACTTCATCTCTACGGGGAGGAGCTTCTTGCTGGCGAAGCCGATGGGGTATTCGCCGAGTGGAGCCTCGGGGTGGGTAAGGGATTCCTTGATGGAGGGAGTTTCAGTGGTGTCACGAGGGAAACGTTGGGACAGGACGACTCCAATGGCGAAGTCGGAGGCGTCGGTGGTGACGTAGAAATGGCGAGTGGGGTCGGCGATCTTGAGGACGGGGGCGGTGGTGATGAGTCGTTTTATGGCATCGAAGGCGTTTTGGCGGCGGTCGTTCCAAGTGAAGGGTTCATCCTTGCGAGTGAGTTCGCGGAGAGGGTACGAGATGTCGGAGAAGTCGCGAATAAAGGGGCGGCAGTAGAGAAATGATCGAAGTTGGAGTAGGGTCTTGGGAGGTGGATACTCGATGAGGGTGGTGACCTTCGAGGGGTCCATGCTGATGCCTTCAGCGGAGACGATGTGGCCACTTTACCACTTTTCTTCCTTCTGGCAAAGGTATTCAACACTTGAAGCGGCAAAGGTGCATTTGCTAAGCTTGGCATATAATTTTTGCTCTCTGAGGAGAGAGAGGACCTGGCGGAGATGCTGAAGGTGGGACTCGAAGGTGGGGCTATAGACGAGGATGTCATTGAGGTAGACGACAACACAGACTTAGAGGAGGTTGTGGAAGATGTGATTCATGGTGGACTTAAATATGGCAGGGGCATTGGTAAGTCCGAAAGGCATCACGAGGAACTCGTAGCCCGAACCGAGAGCAGACTGCGGTCTTGTGGGTGTTCTCTCGCAGATGCAGATCTGTTGGAAACCACTACGAAGGTCGATCTTGGTGAAATACTTGGCTCCACGGAGTCGATCAAGGAGCTCGAAGATCCGAGGTAGGGGGTACTTGTTCTTGATCGTGATCCGGTTTAAGGCGGTGACGATAACGTCGCAGCAAGGACGAGGCAATCGATGATGATGACGTGGCAACGACGGCGACGAGGTTGACGGCTATGGTGATGACGTGGCGACGACGGCGACGAGGTCGATGGCAAGGATGATGAATCAGGGCGGGAGGGAGGGCCAAAGCCGCTCCGATACGAGTGTGACGGGGCTGAGGCAGAGCAACGAGGTCGGAAAAGAGAGAGGGAGGGAGTGAGAGCACACACACACACACTCACTCAACTCGACACGGACTCGACACGAC